GTAAATTCGGTCTAGGTGTGTTTTATAGGTCCTACCATAGCTAGAAAGACCATACGATAATATAGATTCTGCTAATGAGATGTATAATTGTATTCTTATATCGTATGGTATTTTGTATTTTATTAATGTGAATTTGGCCAGAATTCCTCGAAGTCTGTCGCATATATGGTCAATATGCCCTTTCCAGCTAAGGTGACTATCGATTATAAGCCCAAGGTAAGTATGTTATTCCACTACATCAATCTTTACACAGCTACAATGCACGCTTTTAGTGTGTAAGCATTGGTGGCTATGAGTTATTAGTTTGGGTATCTCGTCGCTTCTGTTTTTGGTACTACTGATGTACATAACTTTAGTTTTATTAAAATTAATTACCAGGCCCATATCATGCGACCATTTGGTTAACATGTTAAAGTCATCTCGCAGTTGACTCATGGTGTGATTGATATTTTTCCCAGCTATTAATAAACATGTGTCATCTGCGTATTGATATATTTCACAATATTTCAATGCATTTATCAGGTTATTAACATATGTGAGGTAGTGCAATGGGCCCAACACTGAACCTTGAGCCGTGCCCACAGTTACAGTTTTGCTTAAAATTAATTCGATATTTAAACTTGGTAGGCGATAGAGAGACCTTGTATATTTTCTGAGACGTTTTTGTAATAGCGTATATATTTCCCCAAGAATAAATTACTGACTCTGTGGAGTTGCAAAATTGATATCACTAGCTTGTGTTTGTTCCTGGTGTTTACAGAGTGTGTATATTTTTTTTTACTAAAACTACCTCTGGAAATAAAAATTAATCAAGTCACAATTCTTCAAAGTTCAGTCTTCGACTACAACAAGGGACATTTTCTTTGTGGTCGTCATTTGATGTAACTACTAAAGACGATTCTTTTTCTCGCAGTGGCATTCCACGCGCTCGCCTAGAATCGACTATTTCAGGCAAAAGCCAATCCATGAAAAACGACACCAGCTTTTCTTTCATATTTTTTCCCAAAAATCGTCATCTCTTTTTATAATTTCTGTTTTCAGTGGCTTGTTTCCGCCACTTCACAAGCACTTTTCTCTGCGTGTTACGTGGAGCTGCCCTTGAATCTGATGGTACCAATTACTATTTTTGTTCACTTCGATCAGTTCACTTTTTTATTGTATTTCCATATCTGTACCTTGTTTTCTTTTATACACTCTTCTAGATCCTTTTTGAATGCCACTGAAGGACATATCACTGTGACATGTTACAGTGTCTTGGCCTATCAAACCATCGGGCATAGCTCCAATAAAAGGAAATTCTTAGTCCACGAATAACCCGCACGGGTCAATGGTGACATTTTCCTGAATAGCAAGTTGCTGTAAAGCGAGATGTTCATTTTCGATGCCATGTGCGATTGCCGCTATATTACTGAGATTACATTTATATAAAATATTTTCCACTAACTTGGATTTGCTGGTACTCTCTCTTCTTTTTACTACTATTCCGAAATTCGATGCTGTTAGCATATTTTTTCTTAGTTCTACCCAGTCATCGCTATCTCTCTGATTTATAGTAGATAGTTGTATTTTTTCCTTGTCCGAAGTAAGTTGGTTTAGATTTTGAAGAAATGATTCTTTAGCAGCATTTAATTCATCCAGTGTTAAATCTGGAGTAGTACTCTGAGCCCCATAATCATGTTGAACAGTATATTTAATTTCCTTTTCATCAGTCTTCGTTCTTCAAACTTTTTAAGGATGCTTTTTGGACTTTTCCCTAAAAATTTTTTATGAAGTAGATGCCTTGGGTGGGTGTTATTAAAAGAAACGACTGCAGCATTGCAACGCGCCCGGTATCCCCGACGAAGAGATAATTTAATTCGCTTTCCCACCACAATCTTTGCGATCACACTATTGAAGCGCTCTACTGCATTGGTATCCACGTCTTCAAGCAAGTTTCTTGATTTTGAAATTAATGATTGGAGTATTGTCTGTATCCTGAACCAAAATATAGAGTTTTTTTTATTTTCATATTACTCAGTTGTGTTTTTTCCTTGGAACAGTAATAGTTTTTACAATTTTCATGATTACCGAAAGCATGTAGAAAAAATAAAAATTGCTACCGCTTCCGTTTTGTCTTTTTCTGTCTTATACTCTTTTATTGATGCAATAACAACCTTTCGGATACTCAGAATTTTTGTTTCAGTTAGCATCTTTCTGCGCACCAAGGCATATTTTGTGTCTTTGGCTACAGCCCTCAACTTATTGCACATATTGTGAAGCATATGGTTTCGGCATTCAACTTTTTGTACGGTATGATTCTGGTAAGGATTACGTGCCAAGATTTTCGCATATGTATCCGAGTCGCCATCAGCAATTAACCTACCATAAATAACATTATACATCGATACAGATGTTTCAAATCCTTGGCAAATTATTTCAGACTCGATTCCGCTCGATGACCCCGTGTAATTTTTGAAACAAACGTGTTCTGGTTTGGCAATGTTTTTTTTCTCTGCACGAGCACATACGAGGCAGTATTTGTTTTTAATGCCTAAAAATAACACTTCACCATATCTGCGACCTACGATTGCTGCAGCGCCGGACAATGCCTTATAATTATTGCCGTAAGATCGCGATGACCAACAAGCGTCGGCATATACGTCTATTAGAGGAATGCCATCTTTGCTCAATGTTCCTTCAGCTATCGCTGCATCACGCTCACGCATAGCTGCTGCCGCCATGGACTCGACAGATGTTGACTCCCATTTTTCATAAACTTTGTTTTGAACTTGAGCGTAAGTTGTTTTCGTGAATATGGGTACGTCCATACATGCTGTAATTTCTTCAAATTGCGAAAAACCGATACCAGCAGAAGTAATTCCTGTAACGGCACCTATGTTAGCATTAACATTATGTGTACTCGATAAATCTTCGCTTGTGACAATAAAGTCGTTTTTACACATATTGCATCTAAACTTAAATTTAGAGATCAAGCCAATCCTTTTTTCCCCTATGAGTGACATTTCTGAGAAATTACAATTGTACAAAGAACTATGGTGGGATATAATTCGCTTCTGCCGTTTCTTATATATATATATATATAAGAATATATTTCTTATATACATTATGTCAACGACTCTTCGACCATGCACTGGTGGTTCTTGAGATTCGGTCGACGGTTCAACCAATAGCACATCGTCAGTGATTTCTCTGTAATAAAAAAAAACGAAATTTAATTTTTATTTAATTAAAAACAAAAAAATTAAGTCATGGCAATTACGCGGTGTGTATGAAAGCTTACTTATCATAATTTGATTTTGGTTTGGCTTCCGGAGTTACAACTGATGCAATTGAAATTGATGTCCCTAGGTTTTCGTACTCAGATTCGTTTTGTAATCTAAAATTGAAACAAATAAGTTTTTAAATTGAAATACATAGTAATTTTTATATCATGTGTCTATTTTTGAGAAAATGAATTTCAACAATTTGAATTTTGAGTAATTTGCATTTGGCATTTAAATATTTTGTATGCCGATTTATTCAATTATAAATGTTGAGGCCGTTTTGGTAATTTATCATTTTGCGCCTAAGCCCACTTAGTCATTTTGCGAAGTAGTCCTTAGTTGATAATTTACAAATATTTTGTAACACCATGTATGTAAACGCTTACTCATGAAAAGTTTTCTCCGATATATATATATACGTGAAGCTAAGATCAAGTACCGTTAGAAAGTAAATAAAATTTTATAGTAAGCAATTAAGTGATGTGATATTATCAAAAATAACTTAAAATTTTATCGTTGTGAATAGTGACTATGACGGTAATTACAAGTGAAATAGCTATTGTGACTCAGCAGTCCATAATAAAGGTCAATGAACTACCTGGTTGTCATTCTATTGCAACCACAATATAAACAGAAATTTCGAAGACTAGCATAAGTGACGCGTGGTGTTTTTAGTGAGGGCACGGTCTGCAAACGAGATAGGCTTGAAATCCTCGAATTAATTTTTTATTTTTATTCTTTTTAACACTTAAATCTAGCTTTTGTAAAATTATCTAATATCTTTTTTTAATACAAATTTTATAAAAAAGAAAAATAACAAACATTAAACAAGAACATTAAAAATGGACGGAAAACAGAATAATGACATGAAAACTAGCCGATATCAATCTGTTATATGTGATAAATGCAAATGTAACAGAGAGGCAAGAGATACGATATTATGCTCGCAATGCAAAAAAAGATTCGACTTTCATTATATTGGCTTGTCAGAAAAGCTATATCGATTAATGCAAGCAGAAAAAAAAGCTGCGGAAATATAAAAACATCACATTAAGAAAAAAGACTGTCTCAGCGGCTAAACAAATTGCATCACCTAAATCGGAATCAGTTGTAGATATATCATCTCCTCTGCTTGATTCATGCGGGATCAACACGGAAGAAGAATGCGACGAACTAGAGAAATCCTCCTTGGAAATGCTCTCAAAGAGTGATGAAGATTACTCAACTATTAAAATATGCGAAATGCAGGAAATGAAGGAAGAAATTAAAGAATTAAAAATTAATCTCTCGAGTACACAAAATGAGTTAGAGAATAGAATAATAGAAAACAATGAATACAAAAGAGAAATAAATAAATTAAAAAAGGAAATTGAGGTTCTAAAGAACATCTGTCAATCTCCAATAATTAAAACCACAAGTGAGATAAATAAGGGATTTCACGTCTCACTTACCCCCCTCAAATACTTCTAAATATAGCCACGCATTACACTTTTCTCCAATTTCTTCAAAGAAATGTGATAAAAAATGTAACAACTTGATAATTTCCTTACAAAACAAGATGAAAGAATCGCAAGAACAATTGTTGAATGCCAAAAAAGAGATTACCGAGCTAGAGAATCAAATACGAGAACTTAGCATCAAGCTCACTACTCAAAGGGATAAAGAACAGCTTACATCTCGCGACAAAACTGAAAACAATAAAAAAATAATGCATTCACCAAACAGAATATCTTCATTATGGGGACGCAGCAGTACATTGGTCTCGCGGCAGAACTCACTAAGTCAAGAATGAATAGCAGATACGAGGACTACCAAGTAACAGCGTTCATCAAGCCATTTGCATCTACGGAAGAAGTCCTAAAGATATGTACCAATTTAAAGGTAGACACACACGATAAGGTTATTTTATGTGTAGGAGAAAACAATGATGATCCGGTAACCGCCATAGCAGAATTATATGCTGCATTAAAATTACTAAAGCATGCCACCGTTATTGCAATGAATGTAACTAGTAGTAAGCATTTAAATAATAATTCGTTAAACACGCAATTAAAATTAACGTACGTTACGTAAACTTTACAGTTTGGGTATTCATGGTGATTTGCACAGATGGGTAACTTCATACATAAGTAACAGAAGGCAAGCAGTGTTACGGTGACTGCTTCTATCATTCAAACTATTTAATTCAAAAAAATTTATCTAAAAATAAAAACAATTGATGACTGTGTTCTGATTCAAAACGATTTAAAAAACCTAGAAACTTATTACAGCAAAAATAGAATTACTATCAATAGTGAAAAATGTGTCAAAATAACCTTCAGTCGCAAGAAACAGCTCATAGATTACAATTATTCAATTAACAATAAATCCATAAAGAGTGTATCATCAGTTAGAGATCTTGGTATCAGGCTGGACTCAAAATTAACGTTCAATGAGCATATAGATAGTATTGTTGACAAAGCCTACAAGCAAATTGGATTCGTAAAGCGCGTCTGCAACGATTTTAGCAGTATTAATTGCATTAAAGCTCTATACTTTGCATACGTAAGGAGTGTTCTCGAATACGCTAATATAATCTGGTCTCCAAAGTATGCGAAGCATAAGCATCGAATAGACTCAATTCAAAAACTGTTCATTAAGTTTATCTCATCAAAAGATCATAATAGTTTTGCTTCATACGAAGATGCTTGCAAATTTTACCGCTTAGATACCTTGGAACTCAGAAGACTTCAACACGATATATTTTTGCTACACGGTTTATGGTCTGGTAACATAGATTGTCCAGACCTGTTATCTAAAATATCGATACTAGTACCTAAATACTGAACTAGACATACGCCATTATTTCACGTACCACGAGCAAACACAAATTACGCACACACACACACACACACACACACACACACACACACACACACACACACACACACACACACACACACACACACACACACACACACACACACACACACACACACACACACACACACACACACACACACACACACACACACACACACACACACACACACACACACACACACACACACACACACACACACACACACACACACACACACACACACACACACACACACACACACACACACACACACACACACACACACACACACACACACACACACACACACACACACACACACACACACACACACACACACACACACACACACACACACACACACACACACACACACACACACACACACACACACACACACACACACACACACACACACACACACACACACACACACACACACACACACACACACACACACACACACACACACACACACACACACACACACACACACACACACACACACACACACACACACACACACACACACACACACACACACACACACACACACACACACACATTATTATTAAATATTTATTTTTATTTTTTTTTATTATTTACAATTTTATTTTTTTTATTTTATTTATTTTTATTTATTTTATATTTATATAAAAAATATAATATTATTTATTTTTTTTTAATATTTAATATATTATTTATTATTATTAAATTATTTTATTTAAAACACACACACACACACACACACACACACACACACACACACACACACACACACACACACACACACACACACACACACACACACACACACACACACACACACACACACACACACACACACACACACACACACACACACACACACACACACACACACACACACACACACACACACACACACACACACACACACACACACACACACACACACACACACACACACACACACACACACACACACACACACACACACACACACACACACACACACACACACACACACACACACACACACACACACACACACACACACACACACACACACACACACACACACACACACACACACACACACACACACACACACACACACACACACACACACACACACACACACACACACACACACACACACACACACACACACACACACACACACACACACACACACACACACACACACACACACACACACACACACACACACACACACACACACACACACACACACACACACACACACACACACACACACACACACACACACACACACACACACACACACACACACACACACACACACACACACACACACACACACACACACACACACACACACACACACACACACACACACACACACACACACACACACACACACACACACACACACACACACACGCACGCACGCACGCTTAATTATTAGTTGATAAAAATTGTGTAATCTCTATTGGACTTACTATATGATAATATGTATTGTAAATACGATAAAAACGCTGTATGATTACCTAAATAAATAAATAAATAAATTAATATGTAAAAAGTTTAAAAATGGTCACTTTATTGAAACTAAAAATTATTATCATTGTTATTTAAAGAACGCCTGTCATAGTATTAACATGTTTATTGATTATATGAAAACCATGTTCAGAGGAGCGGATGTAACGGAAAAGTGTTAAAGAAATCACAACAAAAACTGACAAATTGTGAATATAGACACAAGCAGACTTCCATATTAGACTTTTTTCTTTCCCTTACGGCAAAATTATCTTTTTCGTTCCACACAGTAACCCAAAAACATCCTCCAATCAATGTGTTAAAGACCTAAACAAAAAACGTGTTATTATTTTGCATCAAAATATAGCGGGATTGCTCTCAAAAAAGGACCTTTTAGAAGTGACGCTCTCTGAACCGAAAGATTGTGATTCAGAACCTGATATAATATGCTTCTCAGAATCATTTATAAAAAAAGGTGAGGAAAAAAATGCTACTCTCTCAAATTACAAACAAGCAGCAAGCTATTCTAGGAATAATAAACGTGGTGGTATAATAAACCTGCATCTTTCTGCAGAAGGGCCTTACTTGCAACGAACTCAAAATGTTTGACAAGTACTTATTACCAGAAGTATTTGAGTGCTGCGGAATAAGAATCCCTATATACAAAGTAATGATATTATGTGTTTACACCTCTCACAATAGATTTGATCACTCATTTTTAACGAGGCTGGAAGCGGTGACCCATGAACTGTTAAAGACATTCACACATTATAAAATTATCATCACTGGAAATTTTAATATAAATACATTAGTAGAGCATCGCAACAATTAAAAGATATGGCTAAATACTTTAATTTAACAATTCACATAAATGAACCTACTAGAGGAAATAACTGTATAGACCACATTTTAAGTAATATTAAACAAGCTATGGGCATGTCAATGCCGCTTCATCTATCTGATCACAATACTGCCCAAATATTGTCATTCTCAATAGAAAATACTCATAGTCTACAATACTGGTTCTTACACAAGAGAGACTATTGCAATGAAAATCTAAAGTTTCGTGGCTACTTACAGTCACTATCTTTCTCAGATGTTTACAACGGGAAAAACATGAATGTAGCATTCGATCGATTCTATGATCTTTTTTGCACACTTTATAAATCTTGCTTTCCGAAATTAAAAATTAAAATTACCAATAAAAATTCAATGCCAAAATGGATCTCCAAGGGATTAAAAGTTTGCATAAAAACTAAAAGATTATTGCGTTTCAAGTATTATAAACAAAAAACTAACGAGAACAAAGAAGCTTACTTGATGCTATTGATATGCACTTCTTAAGAAGTGCATATCAATAGCCCAAAAAATTGCAATATCAAATATCTCCAGAATAGTCAGAATATTTGTAAAGCTTCACGGAAACTCATCAAAGATGTAACGGAAAGCGAACCCCCACAAAATTACATTACACAAATGAAATACGAAAATAGTATAATAACAAATGGGACAAAAATAGCAGAAATATTTAATGATTACTACGTAAACCTAACTGATGGAAGGTATACATATGATATGTATAAAAAGCGAAAGATACTATCAACGATCAATCATATATCAAAGTCAATTTTTTTTCCAGTCCATTCAACAGAAACTACTCGTATTATACCATCACTAAATAATTCCAGCTCATGTGGGTATGATGAAATCTGAACAAAAGTGTTAAAATTCTGTAAAAACGAACTAGCCCAGGTATTGTCCTTGTCAAATTTGCAGTGCCTGAAAAGGGCGTCTAAGTTGTAAGCACATTTGTAATTTAATACCAATTATGTACACTTAGATTGCAAATAAATGATTTGATTTGATTTGATATTAACATACCTAATTAATTTATCCTTTGAAACAGGATGCTTTCCTGAGGTTCTTAAATTCTCGATCGTGAAACCTATCCACAAAAAACAGAATAAATCTAAAATCGGTAACTATCGCCCAGTTACATTAATACCGGTGTTATCAAAGGTATTTGAAAAGGCCATGCAAAAAAGACTGCTCAACTATTTAACGAAATTCAAAATCATTACACCGGAGCAAAATGGGTTCCAAAAGGGAAAATCAACTACCCTCGCGTGCTTTAATCTAATACATAATGTTATTCTTGGACTCGATGATAAACAGCGTACTACTGTACTTTTCTTCGATATGTCTAAGGCATTCGATTTTGTAGTTCACAATGTCTTGTTAGATAAACTGGAAAATTATGGGATTCGAGGTCTTTCTCACTCTTGGCTTAAAACATATCTAGAAAATAGACATCAGTGCGTAGAAATAAATAGAATAAGCGAGAGAAATACAACTACATCCAATCGTTCTAATTATAAAATAAATAAGTTTGGAGTACCACAGGGTAGCGTTCTGGGTCCTATATTGTTTTTATTATATATAAACGACTTACCGAGAGTGACTAAACATCAATGCATAATGTTTGCAGATAATATTTCCATTATTGTTAAATCAAATTATAATGACAATTTAAATAATTATGAAAATGACATTAATAACACAATTAATAATATAGTCCAATATCTTAAATTAATTAATCTAAATGTAAATCTGAATAAGACAAATTTCATAAATTTTAACATAAAAGGACGAGCAGCAAATATACTTAATGTGCTGTATAAAAACATACCTATTGAAAGGACTACCATGGTCTCATTTTTGGGTGTAGTACTTAACGAGAACTTAAATTTCACTGGCCACATTGATAAAGTTTCTAATAAAATTAATAGGTTTGCTTTCGTCTTAAGGCGTTTAACTAAGATAACGACTCTTAGTGTAACTATGTCTGCTTATTATGGTTACGTCGCGTCTAATATTAATTATGGTCTGGTTCTGTGGGGCAACAGCGTTGAATACGTTGTATACGTTGATTAAAACTACTTTTACGGATTTTATCGCCACTCAGAGGACACACAAGAGCACATACTAAGGATTCAAACCATTTTGTCAGTGAGATAAAAGACCTACGTCTTACTGACAATGAAACCATGGTCAGTTTTGATGTTCTGTCTACATGCCTACCTGTAGAAGACTGCATCTCAATTATAACTAGGAAACTAGATGAAAATAACATGCCACCAGAATATGCAGTACTACTAAGACATTGCCTTACATCTGGCTATCTATTGTGGAAGGAAGAGTTTTACAAGCAAGTAGATGGTGTTGCGATGGGCTCACCTGTATCTCCCATTGTCGCCGATATATTCATGGAAGACTTTGAGGAGAAAGCCCTCCTTACTGCACTTGTTACCCCAAGGTTCTACAAGCGGTACGTAGACGATACTTTCACAATTTTACCATCAGACAAAGTAACTGCATTTTTAGAACATCTTAATTCCATAAACCCTAAAATTCAATTTACTATGGAGTTAGAGGCAAATAATTCCTTAGCTTTCCTAGATGTGTTAGTCATCCGAAATCC